TTATGCATGGGCGCACCCAAACATCTCGCGGGCGCGCCCATATCTATAAGTTATGCATGGGCGCACCCAATCATCTCGTGGGCGCGCCCAAGTCCATAGGTTATGCATGGGCGCACCCAATCATCTCGCGGGCGCGCCCAAGTCCATAGGGTATGCATGGGCGCACCCAATCATCTCACGGGCGCGCCCACATCTGTAAGTTATGCATGGGCGTGCCCACTCTAAAATGCTACTGGAAGTGGGCGCGCCCATGAGATCTATGGGCGCACCCATAGATGGTTTGGGCACGCCCAGGGGGGCTGGATCGGGACCTGGTCCCAGACCCTCTAAGGGGAGTTAGGTAGTAGGCACTAACTACCCTAAGAGGGTACTGCTAGGGGGTTGCCTGAAGTGATGATATGCTCGAACTGTGGCTCATTAACGCTCAACATATTAATATCTTGCCATCGCTATTCATTACCCATGCGTTCTGGCCAGCATGAGTCTCTTAAGGTGGTGACTGCTCGAGTGGATCCCAGGCAGGATATATTGCACAAATTATATGTAGTAGACAGACCCTTCGTGAATACATTCTATGTATGCTCCCAATTGACCATTAAACAAGAGTTACGACCACGCTAGACCGTAGGTCTTGATTCACATGGTCAAGACGAAAAATGCCCGCCACGACATGACAATACGCGGCCTACGTTTACGTTTTCCATGAGCCCTCCGCAGAAATTAGGCCCCGAATATTCCGAAATATCTACTTTTGAAGTGCCTCTGCGCTCCATGAAGCAGACGAGTGCTGCTACGGCTAAATCAGAGAAATCTTGAACACATCGCCACGCCATTCACAATCCATATTATATTTTCATTTGGAACATTTTGGGGACAGTAGCAACGAATTGTCAAATTCAAGTTATCGATAAATGTTGGTACGATACATCCACCGTTCATTCTGAAATTCTCCCGTCAATCCCCGGTCAACGGACTCCTCATCTCCGTCGTATTGGTTCTCACCCCATAGCTCTTCGTCATCATCGACAGGTGCAATCGCCTCGACCACGAAACGACCCCCGCCAAAGCCCAATGGAAAGTGCTTCCGCGCGTATTCTGTCATATTGTGTGAATTGGCCACCAATGACTCGGAAGGTCGTGCCACATCAGCTTTCCCCTCCCCCAGATGCAGGACATAGAGGGGGAGAACCTGTGCCGGATCAAAGACAATGTATTCCAGACTACCTGGGGAGACGTGGGAGTCATACCCAGGTATAAGGGTCTTGGTTCCACGTAACCAGGAATCATCGATGTGAAAACGGCGGCCCATAGTTATCACACTAACGATCTTTGGATGGCGATCATGAACCGGAGCAAAAGTATCATGCAAAGAACGTACTAGCTTATATCCTGGAAGGATACGGCGCTGGCCTTCGTATTGGCCGTCTTCCGTTGTGTCTGCATACCTAGAAGGTATGTCAGTCGACGAAACACCTAGGATCAGAATAGACAAGGCCTACCAGAGACTGTAGGCTGGGCTTGGCGAGGTATATACACCCTAGCAAGAAACGCCGATCGTCAGCAATGAGATCGACACAGCATATGAAACGAACTATCTCACCAACCCCCATGTTGTTCCGTCTCTCACTTCGACAGCTTCACCACGCTGTGTATTTTGTCCGGGTATAACAAACCCCGATCTCACGATAGAGGCGACGCTATGCCTTGGTGTTCCATGAAACACAATCTCCTCCTGTCCCGCGCGATCCCACGCGGCGTCTTTTTCTCGGCGCTCGGAGAACGCCCCAGCGACGGCCTCTTGGATCCTTTGGCGGGCATGGAGGTATTTCTGGCGCAAGTCGTCACGAAGAACGACTTCGGCGTGCAGGAGCTTCGTGGTTGAGGGAAGTGCGTCCGTGATATCTTGAATCGTCGTCGATCCCATGTAAGCATCCACAATCGCCTGGTCCGTCACACCTGTATACCATAAGGGCTTCAGGAGAGGCCACCATTAAGCTCAGAACTGCGCATACGTCTGTCGGCGCTATCCATGTCAAAATATATCTCCTGAATGTCGGCCCCTGCTGCGACGGCTTCTTCAATCTCTTCCTTGGCATCCGTGCGTAAGCCCCCAGCGTACTCCCGTGTCTCCTCCAATAGTTCAAAGAGAACAGCCTCGCCTGGCTTTGAATTCACGATCCCCGCGAGTCTAAGTTTGAGGCCGCTCATTTGAGCGCGACTCACTCCTAGGCCATCTGAGTCGATTGATATATTTAGGTCGGAGGATGGACAGTTGGGGTACGAAAGAGGCACGTAGAAGGAAAGGACGATGGGTGGGCAGCTGAACTTGAACTGCATCTCGGAGAGAGAGGACAATATGTCGCTGTAGATGGATTGAATCGCTGCGAGCTCATCAGAGCATTCGAGAGAAGACATCGTGGTGTGTATGGCCTACATTTCAAAGATGTAGACTATATACATGACAAGAGAGTGAATCATTCGTTGACATCCTAGCCATGCATGCCGAAAGCGCTGTCAGTCGATCGTGAGGTGAAGTTGGGCGCGACTTCATAGTGACTGATCAAACGTCGGTGCCATGATAAGAGTTTCAGACAGACCACACGATATTAAACTCCCAAGTGACTACCCTAGAAAATAGTTAACAGCCAATTGTGAGTGTGTCCTGGCGTTCGTGTTACCGTGAGGTTGCATGAACTTGGCACTGGTGGACTCGAGCTTGAAACTTGGAGCTTGGCCAAGGAAGTAGTCACGGACTTGGACTCGTTCATAAGGTTGAACGAGGTTATGAAGTTGACCCGAGAGGTGGTGATGTCGGTTAGAGTAGGTTAGAGTGAGCAAAGAATATTTCGTAAATAGAAAAGAAGAGGGAGATGAAATTGGCCCAGTCAAACTCGAAAGATATGATCCCTTAGCTCAGTGGTAGAGTGTGTGATTCCAGCCATTGGTACTTCCACAAAGTCATCCGTTCAAGTCGGGTAGGGATCAGCTCTTTTGCCATCTTATTTTTCCATCTGTCGAGATGGTTTTTACAGTGACCCAAGCCTGGTCTAGTTGCCTCTTTGCCACAGACATCTGAATCACGATTCTGGGTAACGAAATATTTGATTTCGGAACGACACTAAAGGGATGGTATGTAGGACTAGATGATACAGGTGTAGCAGGGAGTGTTGTTTGTTGATTGAGTTGAGCAGGGAGTGACGGGATATACAGAACGCGTGAGTGAGCAGAGGCGAGGGTAAGTAAAGTTGGGAGCATGGTATAAACAAGAAAACGATATGTGAAGTCCCAAGATCTTTCCTTCCATCGTGAGCAGGGCAAAACAAGAAAGAGAGCAGGTATATCAATCAGTCCCCCCAACTCGCGCTCAGGGCGCCCACTTCATGCAGGCGAAATTGGAACCTGTCAGAGGCGGGGGATATCGAGACTTGGGGGTGCGGGTAGTCGTCGCGTGGGAAGGCAACAAAGTTCTCCGCGTCGTCTAGACTCGACGTCTCTGCAGCCTCTATCTCCATCTCCGCACCCTCGGCCTTCTTCCCTTGGGCACGCCCTCGCGGTTCGACATATCCATCTCCGGTGTCGGGACCGCGCACAAGCCGCACCCCAAGAACGCCTGGCGGCGAGACTTCGATCTTTTCCTCCCGGGGTTCCCTGGACGCTGCAGAGGATGCAGAGGATTGAGACACCGACCGGGACCGAGAATTAGGTGTAGAATGAAGAGGTGTGATCCGCAGCCCAGAGCGTACGCGGAATGGTGGCCGCGGATGTGGCATGTGGTGTTGTGCAGGCGACTGGCCCTCATGGAACGTCGACGTCGACGCCGAGCGCGACGAGGAGGACAGATAGCTCCCCTGCGCCATTATGTCGAGCAGCGCCCGAGGTTTATTGTGTAAATTGAAAGGCAGCGGCGAAGAAACGTTCACCATTATCCTATTTGAAAAACATGAGCCTTGTAAGTGCTTACTGTAAATATATAACCACTCACCCTTCTTTTGAACGCACAATACTCCCCAGCCTGTCTTTGTACGCTGCCAGATCTACTAGTGTAGCACTAGCATTCGGTCCTCCTGTTCTGAGCCGACTTATTAGTTAATTATTGAAGAGCACGCCTCGTGTATGAACCCACATGAAGTCTCCTCCAGAAGTTGGGATTAGCCTGGAACTTTCATCTGGTATTGTCTGCAAATGATCAGAAAACTGTTCAGTGATAGAACAAGCTACCCTACCTGGTCTCTGGGGCGCTTTCCTAGACAACATAGGACGCGATAGAGGAACGAGGCCATATAACCCCAGATGGGTGGAAGAGGAAAGAAGGAAAGGGATTGGTTTCGTATAGGTTAGGGTTAATCTTTTTCTGAAGTAGTGGGACGGCCGGCCCGCTCTGCATTTGGTTTCGAGTTTTGAAGTTCAAGTTCTTTGAGGTTTCCAACATAACCCACGCAGGGCGCCTTTCAGTCGCAGAGCCCGCTACTCCTTTCTCTAGGAAACGATGTTTGAAAGTCGCTACAAGCACCGAGCTTCGGTTGGCTCCTCGCAGCACGTCCCGAAAAACGTGCACTGGCTTCAACCAGCAGATAGAGATAAATCTACTACTAGGGTGCTGGCCAACACCGACGTAGGCCTCAAAGAAAGAGGGGCGCGTTGGTGAAGCACGCAGTTCCACATGACTACATGTGACGAAACATGAAACCCTACAGATTTTGAAAAGTTGAAGACGACCGAAACCCCTAGAGAGTATTGAGCATTCTTACCTATGTACTCCATGGTCCTTATGTGGAGGGCCGCATATGAAAATAACGCCTTGGGAGCACTCAGGTGTCATGTAAATTTAATTGGCCGATCTGCTGAATCTCTTTGGAATCACTGCAAGTGTTCTGATATTTCTTCTACGAGGTACTGATCATTAATATAGAGTAGCGTAGAGTAGGACTAGGCGGCTTAGAGTAAGTATTCGTATAAAGGAAACTACGAAGGTGAAGTTTGTTTAACTGATCCTCAGTCGTTATTATGTATTAAAATTACTTATATCCTTTCCGTCGTACTCTCCTCTCAAGTATTTTGCCAACAAGAATAGACTGAATCGGTCATTCTCAGGCTTCGATATATCGTGGCGCTTAGCCCAGCCTGGAGTCCCGGGAAAGCACGGCACGCCTGGCACAGCACAGGTGTCAAAATCGATGATCACCGCATGGCCTTCTTCATCGAGCATGACATGCCGCGGCGTAATGTCGTTATGTACCAAACCCATTTTATGCAGGTGCATCACGCCAGCCTGGATGTCCAATAGGATCGTCCGAGAATCGAACGGAGGCTTAGTCCTACAGCGACAATCGATCAACACGGACGTCTTTCTCGACAGGATAAGAATGTACGTACTTCCAAGGCGGGATACAGTTGCCCATCATTTCTTCCAGGTTACACTGATACCCTTTCAAGCATAGATGTCCGACGAACAAGCCCTCTCTCAAAGAGCCGTAATACTCGCAGACGTTGGGGTGCGGACGATCATGCAGCCTCTCCAGCACCGCTAGCTCAGTGGACGTAAAGTCACGGAACAGCCTCCGGCCACCATACTGCTTGCAGTTTTTCAGGCGCTTCAGATGATACCCGAACGGAGGAGGGAGCTGGACTTCTGTTATTCCTTCACGCCATACAGCATGCACGACGTCCGCGGAGACGGGCGTACCGCAGAGCTGGGGCAGGATGTACTCGCCGTACATATACTCTAACGGAGGGATGACGGCGAGGAACGTCTGTGAGTCGTCCTGCTCGCGGTAGATGACTATGAGGTTGAATACGCCGCCGCAATCGAAACTTGGTATCTCTTGGACGATTGTACGTGGCATGGAGAGCACTGGCGTTCTGAGTCAGGATGCTCAAGAGCTGGCGGTGCTGCGCTAGAGTGCATGTGAAGGGAGGTAGGGAACAAGGCGAAGTTTGAGCGCTTCTGGGCTTGAATCGATCACGAGCCTGAGGACACGACTTGATGTCGACTGTGACTCTTTGAAGCCGTGTACGTGTAATGACATTAATGATCAAGCTGTGTCGGCTCATTGCTGGCGATCAACCTCCTAAAATGGTATGACTCGGGAAGCTTACCAGAAAGGACAAGATCGACAGCATGTATATATCGTACATCCCGACAGGCGTCTTGGACGGCATTTGGTTATGGAGAGGAACCTGGCTTCTTAGACCTGAGCCGTCATGAGAAAGAAGGTCGTAATGGGGTGGTGAAGTCAAATTCATACAAATAGTATACATGTTCCTATGTTTAAATTTACAGCTTATCGTTAAGAATCGGGGTTTGAGAACAAGTGGGCTACGTTACAAGGGGAAATAGGAACAAGGTGCTTAGTGTTGTTGAGCCTTGAGAAGGGCAACCATCAATTTCTCGTAGGAGCCACTCGCTTCGCTCTTCACGCGAGATTCCAAAGTCTTGCCTGTGCGGCGCTGATACGCCTCTGCAATGGCAGCCATGCGCCCGGGGACCCAATGGGCACGGACCATCCTATGTCACAGCCAAAATTAGATCAGATTAGAGTAACGGATGCATCCTGCTCACCTGTATACAAGCTGCTTATCCTTGGTTCCAAAGCCCACCATCGCCTTGTCTATGAGCTTAGCATCTCGCCAGATGCCTTTGCCGTCCCTCTTGCGCTTGACACCCTCTGCGACGAAAAGAAGAGCAGTACGAACGTGGCCAGAGCTTCAACGCATTTATCAGATACAGGTTGGTTCACCAGAATCGGCGAGAGCTACGCACAACTCGGACTTGATGACTTTTGTAAGACTTCGGTATTTCATATTGTATGCGTGACAACTGGATGTCCTGACGTGAGCTGCCATAAAAGAGAGTGAAGGATGCGACACATACACGGCACTGAGGTGAGGGCGAGACCTCGTGAGGAAAATATTAAAGAAAGTAGTCTGAGTATAAAATGAACATGGTGAGAAGAGTTGTGCTTGAAGGTGAGACGGAGGTTACCTCGTCTGTCCCTGTCCGAGCCTGACCAGCAGCGTAGAGATCGAGAACGTCCTTCTCTACTAAAGCATTGTCGATAGGAGTAGCATCAACTGGGCGGTGGGCATTCAATGCAATTATGAACACTGGATGCAAGCGCTCATCAGTGAGGCGGCCGTCGGAGAATTCCGGTGTGTAACGTACTTTTCTCAGTCTGTCCACTGAGATCTCCCTTAATCTTGACGGCAAGATCCTCCTTATATCGGTGCTTGAACTCGACGGTAAGACGATACAGGTCCTCGCTGGAACGATCCAAGAGGATCTCAGTCAGGAGATCTTCGTCTGTTCTGATGGTAGAAGCTCAGCCTTCAATGAAGAGGTGACAAAGACAGGTACTAACCCAGCACCGGCTAGCGCGCTGTAGAGGAGCTCGACGTCCCAAGCAAGAGGGCCTGTAGCAAGAGCGTGGATTCCCATCCTGGAGATGTATAAACGACTGCAAAGCTACAAAGGGAGAACGGGCAAATATACCCGAAGTAGCCGCTCGTTTCTTTGTCAAGGAGGTCCACGAGAACTTTCCCGTTCGTGGTCACGTAGTGTTCTGCAAGGGCATCCATCTTCAGAGGTGTAAGCTTCGTCAATGTATTGATCACTAGCGCGGAAGGTAAGCGTCGAATACGAGGTTCTGGCGACAAGGTACTCACAGGCCGTATTATCTGTACCGAACCCCTTGCACGCTTTCTTGATCGCCTCAGCGTCCGCCACTGGATTGTACCCATCGACCTTCGGAACTCCAAAGCCTCGAGGAGGAGCGCGCGGATTCGGAACCATGAATCCGTTATATTGAAGGTGGGGCAGTTCTCCGTATTGTTGGAAACCAGGAGGCGGGTGTGTTGGAGGAAGATACTGAGCGCCATGAGCGGCTGAAGGGGGGGGAGGTACGGGCATAGCAGGAATAGGAGCCCCTGGGCGATTCCCCGGGATCGGAGGGGGGCCACCCTGTGGTGGATAAGATGTATTCGTCTGT